CCCATCATTCCCAGTTCAAAGCCCTCCTGAGGAGATCAGCCATCCTGCTGGCAAAGATGCCTTTGTCCTGCCTTAGTGTAGTGGATCCCATCTCTCTCAGGCAGACCCTGCAACAGGGTCCCATGGCTGTAGAACCCAAAACCCTGTTGCCAACACCAGCTCCACAAACACCTGCTGATGTGCATTGCCAGTGCCCTCCTCCTCCTCACACCCTACCCCAAGCAGACCACTACCCAGACCACCAGGTCCTTGACGGTCATCCCCAGAGCTCTGTGGTCAATACGTAGGCAAAACTGATATTGCATGTAATACACCACCTACTAACTTGTATCTAAACCTTACACATCCATAATTTCAATACTTCTCAGAGCAAACACCTATGGACTTAAACAATCCAAGAACTCAAAGCAAACATTTAAAATGTTTAGAACAAGGTATACGTAGAATATCCTGCATGGGATTAGTACCATTATTTTAACACGTATCCAAAATGAACACTAGCAGTAAGGTAATATTGTGAAATCTTAGGCTGAAATGAAAAACCTGAACCCTGTGTAGGGTGGAAAAGAATAACAGAATTTTCCTTGTTTGACTGGGTAAAATTTAACTTCCCAAGGAAACAAAACTCATTAGAAAAAAAAAAAAAGAGCACTATAATGATTACACTTAAACTGCAGGAAAAAAAAATAATGTTCTGAACACCACTTAAAGGACGTAATAATGGAAATTAAGTGCCAAAAGTTCCAAGTGCTCATGCAATTTATATCTAATTTATCTTGGAAAGGAAGCTAATGACTTCCAAAAGATGAGTTTTGTTCTTAATTTCTTTGCATTAACCACAATAAAAAGACATCTTGTATAATTTTCCAAAAAGTTTTTAAGTTACATCTAATCTCTTATAAGAGCATTTTATCATCTTTTACTTAGTATGAAAAAAAATCACTAAGTATTAATAAAAACTTAAAGTGTAGCATCAAGGATAATTTTCAGAGGCGTTTATTCTTAAAATACCAGTTAATTAAAAACCACAGCATTTTTTTTAAAGCCAGAAGAGCATGCTAATATGCTAGGGAAGTGCTACAAAGCACGTACAGTAAGCAGGTGGAAAATTTTTACTTCTCAAAGTTGTTACTGTGCCTCTAAAATAATCAAGCAAACTCATAAATGGTCCTTACTGAAATAACTGAATTAATAGCTCATTAGAAGAATATAGACAAATTATACAGTTCTGTGAGTTAGTTACAATTGAGACTACAACACTAAATATAACTATCAGAAGTTGCAAAAGAACCATAAAAATGAAGCCAAGAGATGCAGATTCTGCTCCTTGTTTATTCCACAACCTTAAGCTGCCCTCTGTGTGCTCAGCAAACATTCCTATTACATAGAGCTTTCAAATACTTTGCAAAGCTCTCAAGAGCATTATACTTCTACTTTTATACGCACTTTAAAAAAAAAGTATTTTTAAAATATTTAAGTACTGCAAAACCACTTTTTATACAAAGATCTATTAAAAAAGGATTCGTCAAGTTGTTCTTTTGAAAGAAGTTATAAATTTTCTTCAAAAATGACAGAAATGAGATCCCCATATCAAAGTTTTCCAGTTTTTTCCCCACTTGTACATAGCCATTGGCATGTTACACATTAGCCCCAGTCAGCCCAATTCTACATAGTTTTTCACCATTTGATACTAGGTGAAATAGGCTGTATAAATTCTTTAGTATAAGTCAATAAAACAAATTCATTTCATTTAAGCAGTCTAATGCTATTCTGTGAAAGTTCAGTTCCCCAAATATGTATCAGGACACTTCAGAGTAATCCAAGGCACGAGTCAAATGCCTACTTAGGACCACCTGGAATTTTGAAGCCAGCCCCTGAAGAGCTAGGAGCTTCCCTACGCTATTTTTTCAGTCTCAATCCAAGCAACCATAACGTCTGCAAGTCAGAAGTGCTACATAAGCTAGGTGTAGATCTATGTTAGAGATATTGTCTCCTGAAACTTGTTCTTTTATTGCTAAGTCTCTACCTCATCTATGAAAACCATATTTATCAGTCTACACTGGTTGCAAAAAGCAGTAAAAGAATAGGTAGTGATGATCACAGCATATTTCAAAATGCACTGGGCATCTCTGGAATCACTGCAGCCTTCTGTGATACAGATGACATTGTCAAAAACAGGTTTCAGGCAAAATATTATTCATCTGACACTGTCAATACATACATGTTTTATCTCAGGCACATGATATTCATTGCGATACAGCAGATGCCAAACTCCAGTAGACAGAGGCCAAGCAAAAATGACAATGTACCAACAATAGGTTCTACAGCATCACCACTAGCAGACCTTCCACTCCCTTATTCTATGCACCTAGCTGTAGAAGTGATATTCTGCTGTCCTGCAGCAAAGAATTTGAAGATTCTGGAGATCACTTGGCAGCCAACAGTACTAAAAAGACTGACTCCATGAAGGCAGGTCACACAAAGACAGAAAGTACAGTCGTGCTAGTATTGATCCTGGGCTGTTCAAGCACAGCAGTCCCACTGTTGAAGACTGCTCTGTCCAAAGGTATGATTATCCTAACTGAAGTATTGACCAACTTAATATTGAGTCCCATAAAATCTTCGGTCTGGCTGTGAAACGCTACACTTCAGAAATCACAACAGGAGCTGTCAACAAGTTACACAATAAAAAAAAAATATAAAAAAATCAGCCTTTCAGCATGACTCACACGTAGGCTGATCACCAAGAAAATGAGAGAGCCTTTTGCAGCATGAGATTTGTAGCAACTGCAAATAAGGATCACCTGAGCTATTAAACTACCTCAGATTCCTTACCCACAAATTGTTATACCTTCAGGTTCAGAACAGCAAGAATTGTCCAAACTTTACTACTTATTTATGTCACTAAGAAAATTGTCATTCTTTATTAACCTACAGCTTCTCATGGCCTCTCTCTACGTTCTGAGACAACAACCTCAGAAATGCAAATAGTATTTTCAACCCTCCTTCCAATTCCAGGCTTGATCTATAGGAACTTGTGTTGGTTTCTTCCAGCTAGTTCCTCGCTGTTAGCAGTGCTCAGTACTTTCACATTACTTGATCAACTCATTTTTATTCTAGCCATTAAATCCATCAGTGGCAAATTCAAAGGTATTTAAATACAGTAATCTATATTTAAAATTAAGAAGTGTTGACAACTAGATGACCATACCATTCACAGTTCATCTTCACCATGCAGAAGACATTTGAAAAACAAGATTCTCTGTATATTCTCACCAAAAATGTTTGAGGACACAGTTTTAATTTAAAAAGCAGTAGAGCCTTTTGAAATCCACAATTTGGTGCTGTCCTTTGGGCAACAAGCCTAACCAAGCAGAATCAAGGGAGTCCAATATTCCAAACAAAACTTCTGAGTCAGAAGTGCTTCTGCAGTAGTCACGAACAGAACGGGCACACCTTCCAGGGAAGGATTTGCTATTTGAGAGATTCAAATAATGATACCGTTCCATGCTGTATCACTCATGTATCATAAGCAGTTGTTCAACATTTGCTAAGAGTGGATTTCATCTAGTCATCATTAATAGTCACAAGTGAAATACCAAGTTGGGTGAGCCACCCACAGCATGGCACACACTGCAGCTGCAACTCCTCCCTAGTATGAGGACAGGTGTATGACTGACTTATTTTTGTTTGGTTTTATGAGCTAACTAAACTCAGAATACAATTTAAAAGAAGATTTAGCTGCTGTAACTACTAAGTGTTGTGGTCCTGGTTCTTTAATCACAGCTTGTCTACCTCTGGCCTGAACCATTCCTCCTTGCTAACCCAGTTTTTAGGCATAAAACTAATCAGATCGCAAGAAAAAAACCAAAACAAAACACTAAAATGCCATGCTTGTTTAATTTAGCTGCTGTAACTACTAAGTGTTGTGGTCCTGGTTCTTTAATCACAGCTTGTCTACCTCTGGCCTGAACCATTCCTCCTTGCTAACCCAGTTTTTAGGCATAAAACTAATCAGATCGCAAGAAAAAAACTAAAACAAAACACTAAAATGTTTCTGCCATGCTTGTTCGAAGTATAGACTCAGAAAAGTATCTGGCAATAGTAAACCCAGTTTTTAGGCATAAAACTAATCAGATCGCAAGAAAAAAACTAAAACAAAACACTAAAATGTTTCTGCCATGCTTGTTCGAAGTATAGACTCAGAAAAGTATCTGGCAATAGTAATAGAAAACTGGCATCACCAGGGGAAAAAAAGAGGGCAATGAATCTCATGGTAAACCAGGAGCAGAGAGAATAAGACCAGAAACAGCCACAGCACAGACTGCCACAGAACCAAAAGCCTAAGCCAACATCTTAGTTCAAACATAACACAGATAAATGAGGCAATCTACTTAAATGAGCTCCTAGGTTTTTTTACACCCATTTAAAACTTTATTTGAAAAGCATGTGATAACTTTGGTAATTTGTAAATTTTAGCAGCAGGTCATTATTTTTATTTCCTTTTTTACACCCATTTAAAACTTTATTTGAAGAGCATGTGATAGTTTGGTAATTTGTGAACTTTAGCAGCAGGTCATTATTTTTTTTTCCTATCTTTTTAAATAATTTTTTTAAACATTTAAAAAAATCCTATGACATTAACACATTTCAGTCTTTGAATAGAACCTGACAAAGTCGGGCTCTATTTTAAAAATGCACTTGCTGCTGTTCCACGTATTAATGACAAACACATACCCCTAAGTTGAAGAAATCCTTAAAATACTTTTAAAATTCTAATCCAGTGAAATATTAACATTCCAACACCAGGAAAAAAAACCCATGCAATAACGCTGATGTTCACTGATATGTGATATACACTTTTGACTTACTGTTTATTTAGAAGATTTGTAGTTCTGTTTTTCTTTTCAATATAAATCACAACAACAACTAAACGCCATATAATAACTGCTATTAGATACAAGAATGGGTAAGGACCACATCATCATCATCATCTTTACCTCTTTAATTTTGTTCCTCTTCTCTCGGATATCCGGGTCTGCTGGTTCTCCACTGTTTATCCCTATCAGGTTTGGTAAAGGAACAGGGGGCAGTGGCTTGCTGTCTTTCTTTTTCAACTCTTGCACTACTTTGTTCTTTTCTGTCTGTATCTCAGCTTGAATCTCATCACGTGATTTCTTCAATTTCTCCTTAGCCTCTTCCAGAGCCTTTTCATGATCTGCTCGGATCTTATTTCTCAGACGTTCCTCTTCTTCTCTAGAGACACAAATGTTGGTCAGCATCTCATTACTAAAAACACATTGCTTATAAACAAACTGCGGCTTCAAAACAGAAGCCACACACCAAGTTCGTTCACTCTAAGCAATTCTAATGATTCAGACAAGTTTACTGAATTATGTTACTTGACAATCCTACACTATTTTTGCCATCAACACACACATCAGCAACACTACTGTAGAGAAGTATATCATAGGGGTTTTCTAGATTATATCTCAGCACCTTCGCTTTCTACGCAAAACTTTAGAAAGGAAAAGCCCTACACCCTGTACTTCAACTACAGGATGCATGCACAGGCACATCTAGCAATCATTCTGTTTTAAAAAGAACCAAAAAAAAAAACCAAACCAGAAGGGCTCTTCATCACCTTCTGGACAATCATATATCTTATACAACTTGTCAAGATCTGAAGTAACTACTCAAAAAAAAAATCATCACAGGCACTCCTTTTATTAACAATGAGGTGTGGGTTGCAAGAGCTGCAAACTCCAACCCCTGTTTTGTCTTGAATTCAGAACTCATTGTTCCAATCACTATGGTCCATAAACCCCACAAGTTAAATGCAGAGTTAATTATAAAGCCATTTATGAACATAAGAGCTTTTAGTAAAACATGGGTTTAAAACTCACTATCGACAAAATCAACATCATCTTGGTTGTAAGCACAATCTTCCATCATGATCTTCATGATCATCATCAACAATCAGTAAAAGTTTTGACATTCACACACAAAACAAAGAGTGCCATTTTAAAGCCTCGCTTAAACAAGAGGTTATTCTAAAACCAGACAAGAATGGACCATTCCAGTCCTAAAACATCTCAAGGCATCAGAAAGAGACACGTCAAACTCATTATAACACAACCTTTTCAAGCTTCTTTAAAATATAAAGTTGTTGCTCAATGACTAATGTAAGCCAAAATAGTTACAGGGATTTAAAATAAGTCTTAGTTACAAAAAACAACATGCTCCCCCCTATTTTCTCCCAGAGGCAAAAATACTTTTGCCTCTAAGAGCATTAAAGAACAGTGGATAACTGAAAGGAAAGAAGGCAAGCAGCAAGCCATGAAAGAAATATCAAGCTTAGACTAACTGCTTTTAGGAGGAATTGCACTACTCAACCCATGTTATGTGTTTTTTCCAGTATACTGCGAACATACTGATGGAAAGGAGCAACCAATATTTGGTATGTGAGAATTAGAATAGAATAGTTCAGTTGGAAGTGACCTTCAGCGATCATCTAGCCCAACTGCCATTAAAAAACAACCCAGAGTTTACAGAAAAAGTAAACACAACATTGACAGCTTAACAAAACATTGACAAATTACCAAAACATTGACAAAAATACAAATATATCTACATATTTAAATTGGGATATTTTTACTGAAACGGTTATTACAAATATTTGCAAAGACTATGATAAAGTGGTAACTTTTCCAGAAATTCAAACAAATTTCAAGTAACTCACAGGGGTGCTGTGTTGGAATATTTGGGGATACAAATGGATCTTACTGAGCTTTGCAAGTATAACAGAAGTGTTTGTATTAGTCTCCCAGATCAAGATTATGTCGCGTCTACTATTCAGCACTGCTTCACCTTTACAAAAAAAGGTCAAAGAATGAATCTGATCTGAATAACTTGCATAGAGTTGTGATACAATAATATCACAGAATCAATCTTCTAGGTTGGAAGGGACCTTAAAGATCATCTTGTCCAACCGTCAACCCAACTTTGACAAAAATAGACACCCACACAACAAACAAAAAGCAACACCATCACTAGACCATACCTCCCAGCACTACATCAACCCGTCTTTTGAACATCTCCAGGGATGGTGCCTCAACCACCTCCCTGGGCAGCCCATTCCAATGTTTGATAACCCTTTCGGTGAAAAAATTTTTCCTAATATCCAGCCTGAACCTCCCCAGCCTGGTTCATTTTGTGCAAGGTTTATGACTGTTACAGCCCTCTGCCTAAGGAGAGCCGATTCTCCCAGTCAAAGTGCAATAAATCAAGCTTTTTAGCTCCAGAAATTCACAGTTCAAACCCCCAGTGCACTAGCCCTGGCTGCCATCTCATAAACATCCAGTATATTTTTGAGTTAAAATTTATACACCTCTGCTCCATTCTCTAGCTTGGACTCAAAAGCTCAAAGAGATACTTTTTTTTTTAGGCACATATTTTGTTCTTAATTTGACAAAGCCTGACATCACTTCATGTCATCCAGAAACTAGCTTTCCAGTTTACAGGCCAACGTGCATAGCAAGCAGTGGGAAACCATGGCAATATAACAGAAACGCTCTCAGCAAAACACGTTACACAAAGAGTGTTTTATTAGACCTTACATTTTTCTTAAGTGCTATTAGGTTTGCATTTTAAAAAACTTATAGCAGCATTATTATAAGCTTTTGATATTTATATATAATGCAATGTTTTAACAGATGAGCTGACTGAAAGGCATTCAAACTGAAGTTCTTTAGTCACTTTTCCCAATATGACCCATGTCACACGTATTTTCCCCAAACAATAAAAAGGACTGAGCTCTTCACTTTGACTATCAAATCCAAGCTCATTAACACTGTTGAACAGTAACAGTCCCTTCTCTCCTTTGACTGCAGAGCAAATAAACAACTTTGAAAGTGACAAAACACTAGTCTAAACAGAGAAAAAAACAAATAATACCATTTAGGGTAACTTTTCCTTCTACTGTGACCCACTTCTGGTAGAAATAACTTTCTTGTATTCCTGTAAAAGTTACTCATATTTCTATCAACTGAAAAATTTGAAACCATAGATCTGTAGTCTGGAAAGCTTTCCCAAGGCTAGCAGAGGGCTCTGCATAATGTGATAAGATGCAACTAAAGAGAATGAGGTCACCAGAACGAGACATCATTCCCCACAGTCATGTTCTCACCAAGAGACAGCACGCTGTACAGGAGCCAAAGAAATGCCTTACAGACAAATGAGAAATAGGAAGCGTTACTGAATATTTAAGAAACAAAATACTTCAGCGTGGGGTTACTGTATTTTGGGGGTATGTCCCTCATTTTCCAAACTCCGTTTCTGGGGGAAAGTGAAGCCTTTACCTTCTGACTAGATGTACGAACATTTTGTTAATAGATATTTAAGTTCTTTTTGCAAAGGATCAACCGTCACTTAAAACCTGATTTAGAAAAAATGGTGTAACAATGTATCTCAGACCTTAATAAAAAAAAAAAAAGTTCAAGGTGTATTCATATTAACCTAATTCGAAGAGGATGCTTTCTAATGAGTGTGTTTTATTCATAAATAGTAATGGTTTTGGTGAAATGCACAGTTAACATGCACATCCCCAAATACGATCTCCCAGTGTGAAAAAGATGAACGATGACTGCGTAGTTATAGTGAGTCTAACTCACTAAAATGAGTCACTGGTGATGTGCTTTGTGCACCTTCAGGATTTTGCACCATCAAGATCAAGGTCCATGAAGATTTTGCCTTTACCTTTCGTTTAAATTTTCAGTCCCAGGTGCTGTATACAACAGCAATAAGAAATGCTTCATCACTCTACCAACTTCATCTATTTCTAGATTCAAACTGCATGAAACAGCCATAAATTGGAAAACAAGTTTTGAACTCACGTCTGTTTACGCTGCAGGAACCACTATATAAACATACAAAAGCTGTTGATTTCTACAGCTCTATAATCCAATTAGAGTCATTAAGGAGGTTTGAATGACAGTCTACTTGCCTTCAGTCACTCAGCAGAATATCTAAGTGTCTGAAGAACGTACAGAGACTCAATAGAGATGAAAAATTCGAGCACTAACTGTATGATCAGCTCCAAGTCTTCCAGGAAGTGACATTTTCAGACAAACATAAGAAAACAGTAAGATGAAGAGAAAGGTCAACAGGTATTTGAGGAAGTTTACAGGAGATAGTACGAAGCTTCTTCTGCAGACCAATATTCTCCATGCAATTAGGAATGATGGACAGCGTGAGCTACAAGAAATGTCATATTCTACACTTCCAGCTGAAGACGTGTTTTACCAAATATATTCAAGTATATGATCCTAAAGGAAGAAAAAAAAAAAATCACACCCCTAAACACCAATACCATATGTTTCTTCTGAATTCTTAAGCAACAAGTGAAAATACAGAATAAAGTTAAGAGAATGAGAAGACTTGAACTGTGTAAGCAGCCAACAGCCCCCCCAAGTCACACCCAAACCCCAACAAGCTGCCCATCCAAGCATAAGAAAGAGTCAGCAAGTTTAACACATGTAGATATCACTACACTCAACTACTCTGAATTAAAGAGACCTCAGAAAGGATCAATCTAAAAATATAAGATTGGAAAGCATCCCAGCGTAAACACTTACGCCAAAATGTGTCAAACAGTTTCCCTATCCAGCTACCCTCCCCCCACCCGCCAAGCTTGCAGGCAACATAAGCAAACTCTTCAAATACAGACCATTTTGAGTAAAATTTCAAAAACCTTACTTAACAAAAAGCTGCTGCCTCCCTCTTTGTAACCCCGACAGCTTATTCTAAAAATCCTAAGATGGAGATTTTACCATGAAACTACAGCAACAGCTACTTTAAAACAAGTAATATTATTAAAAGAATCTGTGATTAGACTATTTTTGCCAGCAAGAGCCATAAATAGAGCTAATAATTAGTATCTAAAACTAGACAAGTGCAGGCCTAAGACAGGTGCAAGTTTTTTAAACAATCACCATAATTAACTATTGCAGCTGCTTATGCAGGAACACTGTACACACTCAAAAGTGTCCACAGGCTGTCTAAATGTCATTCAGAAAAGACCACAAATTATAACACTTCACAACCAGATCTCCAATCGAAATTTAACGTGCTTTAATTATGCACACAATATTGAGCCTTGTGAACTTACAGCTAAGCTTCACTTGCCAAGACAATGACTTAAGTCTGAGAAACTGAATTAAAAAAAAAAAATAAAAACAACAACAAAAAACCCAAAA